ACCGGTGCCGCCAGCAATAGACCCTTTCCGGAAATCAGTGCCATCTGGTGACTTAAATGGCAGTTTAACTTTAAAGGGATACTGAACCGAAATTTGAATTTCGCAAAATAAGGCTCTAGAAGCGTTGAACGTGACTCTACGAACTCCGAAACATTGCTCGTAGATCGATATCTCAAACGGATGGCCGCACTTTTCGAAAAGAAGGGCGCGATCAAGCGAGGCCTCTGACATCACTGTCCTCCGGGAGAATTTGAGAATGAGGGGGAGCGGCCTCGCTTCTCTCCTCCTCGCTTCGGTTCACCAGCTCGACACGGGACGTAGTGAGGAGGAAAGGGAATAAGAATCGTGACGTGCCTTGCCTTGTCGGCCTCGTCGGCCGGGTTCAGTCGGGCGCTTCTTTTCTAAAAATATGGTGATCCGTTTGAGATATCGCTGTATGAGTGATGTTTTTGGGTTTTGCATCGTCCCGCCTATCTGTCCAGCCTTGTTTTGTGAGTTCGAAATTTCGGTTCAGTATCCCTTTAACCGTACTAATGGCGGCAATGAATCTGTGGTCTGCAGTATCTTGTGGGGCACCGTCACTTTCGCAAGTCAACGGTAAACGAAAACGCGCGCTTCACTGCACAGGCACAGTTCTTTTTCAATATCTTTCAGTGTCGATGGCGAAAAAGATGCAACCAGTCAAAACGAAACGCCAGCCCATATAGACGCCTCGATAAAATTCTATATATCAAGGGTGTTTGAAGCCGAATGTTGTTTAACTAACAGATGGACTGGGTCCGAGTTAGAAATAAGCGCTTACGCAGCTCTTGCAGCCAATTCCTACTTCACGCCGCGCTGACGTCTAAAATGTATAGGCATCGAATCATCTGCTTAGGAGTATCTTCAACTTCTTCCTTCATCACTAAACAGAAGGCCGCCATTAGTATAGCACATTTGCCATTTTTCAGATGATGATAGTGATCAAAGTTGCCAGAGTGAATTCCGGAAAGGGTCTATTCAAGCAATACCCTGACACTCAACAAACTGCGTGCACGTAGAGACAGGTTTACACCAGATGTCTTTCAAACCACGTGCACTAAAATTGGTTTCATGGGTGGTCGTGTGGGTCTTTAGCTTTAGCGGTTTTGCTTTGCTTCCCGATCTGTAATGTCGAACAGTGCGAGGCGAGAAAACAAATTCCGCATCGGCAGAACGCCATCCTTTAGATGCCCAGACAACGTGATTATCGACTCTTTTGCAGGGATAAATTTGTGTCTATTTTTTCACATCTTCTTGAAGGTGAGCTCGCTCTCCTGTCAAACAGAAGTCAATCAGAAAGCCGGATTTGAATTTGCTCCACAAGGGCTTTCGAACTCCCGGAACGCTGCGGCCGTGATACAGCGTCTGTCAGTTCTTCCCTTTTCGCCACATTCAGAGTTGACCGATTTTCTCGTAGTCATTAGAATTAATGCAATAAATGTGAGTGCTTTCCTGAATTCGTCAGTCTGGTTTAAAGAGGGGCAAAAAATGAAAGTCGTTTACAATTCGCTGTAACGCCGAACCAGAGCGCAGCTCTTGAGGAGGAGGGGAGGGTACGGAGCGTATTGTATGGCCCTCCTCCTCCCCCGTTAACCTAACCTGTTTATAGCAATATATCACATAATTTTAATATTGTAGCTATTAAATTTTTGTACATAAGGACTCAGAAAGTTAGTGACACAACATCAAAGGAATCATGTTTGCAAATTTTTCACGCGAAATATATTGTCACGAACGACAAATGACACGAGGCTTTGAATAACTACGGAAACTGAACGTTTAATGGGTCGAACTTGCGCCCAAAACAAAGAAGAGAAAGAATACCGTCGCAGGCCTCGATGTCGGCGGAACAGCAGAGTCGAGCGCTGGGGCGAGACTGACTCCGACTCGCCACGCGGAGCGCTCGTCGGCCATTTCGCCGTATAGCTTAGGGCTGGCTCCTCCTGTGCTGCTGCGGTGACGGTAATCTCGGGATGGAGGGCTCAGTTAACTTCCTTTTGGACGACCTCCGCGAGTAACAGTGAGGCTGGGCTATCTGCAGCAGGCATCTAGGATCTTACAAAGCTCTTCCCGGACGATATCCCGGACGATCTCTCAAAGGCTGTCGACGCCGGTGGTGCTCAAGACCAGACAGGTAGCTGCGACGGCTGGAGCAGTAGGCGCGCCGGTGAGTCGGTGGTAGTGGCTTGCTCCGGACGTCACTGCACGCTCGATATTGCTGGCTTCGGTTACAAAACCATCGACAGTCGTTATGGGATTGCGTACCAGGCCTCCAAAAATTTCACTCTTCACGCCACGCATGAGGGCGCGAAGTTTCTTCTCCTCGGTGGCCTTTGGATAGGCTTGGGCGCTTAGCCGCAGGACATCTTCAACAAAGCTTGTCACGCTTTCATTAGGGCCCTGCTCTCTAGATTAGAGAAGGTCCTCTGCTCGCTGCCGACGGTGGTTGTTGATAAACGTCATCTTCACCTCGTCCGACGCATGACTCCCACGAAGTAAAGGAGGCTTCGTGGTTCTCAAACCAGCGCCTCGAGGTGCCCTCAAACGAGAAGTACAGGTTCTTGGAGGCGCTTTTCTGCCGTCCAGTCGTTGTGGCGAGCTACACGTCCGCAGTCCTGCAGCCAGTCTTCTACATTTTCGAGGGCTTCGCCGTGAAAGGGCGTCGGAGTGCGGGGAGTGAAGGGCAGGATGACGACGGGTTGAGTAGTCATTGCCGCGGACTTCTTTTTTGGCTTCTGTTGCAGCCCCGCTCCAAAAACCCGCAGACCCATGGGGTTATGAAAACGTGTGGGTCCCACAGAAATTGTTTGGGTGTTCGGGTTTCTATGGGCCCCGCACAGTTTGTTTGGGTGTGCGGGTCCCCAGAGTGTGTGGGTGTATAGGTCCCCATGGGTCCCCGCACAGTCTGTGTGGGTCTACGGAAGCTGTGTGGGTCCTGCAGAGATCCTATAGGAGCTGTGTAGGACCAAAGTCCCGTGGGAGCCGTGTGGGTAACCCATAGGGTTTCATAACCCCATGCTCTGTGGGCAATCTCTGTGGGAACCTGTGGGAGAATGCATGCTTGACACCGTATTTCACTGCAGACCATTGCCAAGAACCGGCTGGTTCTATTTTTATTTACCGATTGGCTCTTCATTTCTCTTGCTTTCGCCGGTCGTTCATTTTTTCTCCCAGTATGTGGTTTATTTTTGCTGTCCTCGACATTACAGCAATGACATCTGCATGGTGCTTGGCCACGGAGCTTCATCATTAGGCATTCTGAAAAATATGCAATGACAAAATATTTAAAGGAGCACAATTTGTAGACGTAAGGCTTAAACTAATGTTCATTAAAATCACATGCCACATCACTTTCATGAACAGTTTCATTTGGAATAGCCTTTAATAATGACGCACTTGAAGAATGCAATTGCAACATGCCCTATAAAATCAATAATTAAAAAGTTAATTAACAAATCTGGGTTAATTAGTCAACATATTGTGACGGTTATCCCCTTATCTATGTCCGCCGAGCCCCACAAATCTCTCGCCCTCTTTTTTTAAACTACGTTCAAACTAAAATGGCACATTCTGTATGATGCTGAACCCGATTATATCGAAATTTGTATCAAACTTTGTGAACAGACTAGTAGCTGCTATAAAAATGCATAGCGAAAAATGCGGTTACGTCGGAGGAAAATTGCAGCGTCTCCCGATAGATAGAACTGCCAGGAGCACCGTTTCGCTCTGCAAGCTGGCTTTCCCCCAGCACGGGGACGCATTCGGGGAAAGCCAGCTTGCAGAAAAAGCTTGCCTTTTTTTTTGGGGGGGGGGGGGGGGGGGGGGGGAGGGAGGGAGGGGGGGGGGGGCAACCGCGTCGACTCCCCGGAAGTGGGGAGAGGATGATCCGGTGAGATCTTGAAAAACGAAGAAGCGGCCACTCAATAGCCATGTGGAGCGTCCCTTATGACGTACAGACGCTCCTTCGAGAGTAAACAACTTTTCTAAATATGTCGCGTTTGTTTGTTGTCAGATTCATTAAAACTTTCATGTAGAATTACCCGCTATATCGAACTGGTAGACAGTTTTTTGCGAGTTCGACATAAGTGGGTTTGACTCTATAGTAATTCGCAATCATCGCCATTTGAAAGCTTTTTATGTCCAGTTCCTGGTTTTGACAAGTATTGGGCTTATGAAAGGTACCGTCACAATGTCACCGTTTTCCACCATCAAAAACCCTAGAAAAAAGTGCTGGTTATACCCTTAATGTGATTTTTTTACACTTATGCCTGACTGCACGGCAAACGCCAAGCGGGCCGCTTGTTTGAGACACAAATAATGGTGCCCCTCTCCTATCTAATGTTTGAGCAAGCGAAGATGAAACCATTAAAAAATAAGTACAATGCTGATGCAGAATTCAGTTTAGAGAAAGTGATTAAGAGTGTTCAAACATCCTACCAGTCATTGAGAGTACTAATATACATCACATATTATAACCCTGCTTTTGTTTGCCACTGCATGACAAGTACTTTGAGCTACTGTAATTTTACACATTACCTACTGAAAGTTAACAATGTTCCATGGGCACATTGAAGTGACCAGATAAATGGGCATATTTCGCTGATATATTACAAGAGAATGCCTGAAAGCGGTATTTTTAATATTTCAAAGATAAGGACATAAACCCCCTTGCGTCAAAAAGAAGAAGAAAGAAGAGAATTGTTGCAAATTGCAACAATGCTCTCCTCGAGAAAAAAATTTCGCAGAGCTCTTTTTTTTTTTTTTTTTTTGTGAAGACATTAGTTTATTTAGGGTCACTGTAGCATGTATTGCAACTGCAAATGATTTTAATAAAAAGGAAATGCCTTACGCATTGCTTACTCCATATAGCCGAAATAAAGGCCAGTGGCAAAAAAAAATATAAATCTGGTGTTGGCACGCAAAAAATAAAAAAAAATATAGCTTTTGTGTTTTACCGAGGTTACCTAACCTTTCTATAATTTTACTGAAAGCTTCCACCATTATGTCACAGCTGTGTGCTCAATCCTATCAGTTTTATGCGGTCCATCCAAAGATCACCGAAACATTGTGAACTCCCAGTATAATACCAACTAGCTGCCAAGATACTGCCTTGATTGAGAAGATTTTTCAAATAACTGCTTAGGTTACGCTTACGTGAGATAATTTGCACTCGCCTCTCAGGAATGCCGCTTTCTTGGGTGTCAGAGGCAGCCTGCTGTCCTTGTTAAGACTGACATTCGACGCCATTTCGGCCACAGTCCTCTGCAGGACACTGGACCCCCACAGAGCAATGGCCAGGTTCTTCACAGCAACGCTTGACCTTATGTCCTGGTTCACTATGTTGTCACCCCAGGCTTTCCACGTCACCTTGACATCAACCGTCGTAGAAATGCATCTATAAAAAATTAGAATAGGAAGCGAAACCGGTGTACTCGGTGGTGAGATCCTCCTTTCATGAAATGCTGCTTCGTGCATATTGATTAAAGCAAGTTTCGTTAGTTTAACTCCTTTTTTAGTTGAATCATTGTCAAAAATCCTGCAAAGCTCCCATACAACACTATTACGGTGCTCGAGCTATCAAGTTCTTTTTTTACGTTGCCTGATTCTGCCGCTGTCAACTGCAAGGGGTACTGGGTGGCAAGCCCTCTTGTAGTGTCGGCTGCTGGCGAAGGTTATTTGGCCGGCTCAAAAAAACCTGACAGTGCGATCACTGGCTGGCCTTGTGATTTCGCTCTTCTCTTTCCAGCCCCCTCTGCCTCCTTAGATGGTGTTTCATGAATCCCCCCCCCCCCCTGAACTTTTCGGTCGGCGTAATGGACAGAGAACATGAGAAGATGCGCCCACTGATTTGAGTTGCCGGTGCAAAGCGCGCCAGTTTTTTACCTGTGTGCGGGGTTATCATGCAACCTCGAGCGTGGCTGGGACTATAAAACTAACGCTTTAAAAGAAAAGAAGCCACTTTATGCTCCAAGAGTGCTGAGTTTCATTCCCATGTACCTGGTGAAGATAGGAAGAATACACCATTTTCAAAACCTAAGCAAGCAACATTGACAGTCGCCATTTGTTGGACACGAAAGCTGTGATTGGATCGAAGACCACGTGGAACGCTGACGTTGCACTCACGTCTATCCACGCCAATCACTGACACGGCGCTTGTTTCCAACGTGTACTCGGAATCCGCGTTTAAGAAATGGCGGCCTTGGACATGCGCACATTCCTGAAAAGGGTTTATTGTATGGGCCAAAGGTAATTAATGGGGAATATGATGCTCCAAGTCTTTCCGCCTAATGCACTCAAAATGTTGAGCAGAATGTTAGAGATGCAGGTTTAAACTTTCTACAAAGAGATGTCGCCTTAGATATGTTTTTCAAGACACTAAAACTTGGGTCTTACACCACTGCTGAAGTGATGCAACACCAAAAAACAATAATTTGTGGCGATGGTGCTGAAAGAGAGATCTTATTTGAGCAACATTTATCGAGATTTACATGGTCAATGACAAATTGTCAAGGCCTTTTCATCTTGAAGACATTGTGCAAGCATAGAAATGCCTTCTATCCAGAGGTATCTCTTATAAAGCAAAAACTTACCAAATCAACTTACCATTTCACATTCTAGAAAGTTTAGGAGCTGATATGGCTCCACCTCAGTGGGTTCTTTAGCAGCTGCCTCAGCGGATGCAGGTCCGACTGTACCAGCTGCTCCATCTAAGGTTGCAGGTATTGCAGCTGCACCACCGAAGGCTGCACCTGTGTTGCACATGCTCTGCATCACAGGAGCTGGTGCTGCTGCCACTTATTTTGTGAAAAATATAAAAGAAATATATGACATGAGTCAGAACAATGTGCAGGACTGCCACATGATGTGTGTAATGCTACAATAAAAGCTGAGCGTGGGGTGGCAAGTATATACCGATTCAACCAACCACACACCAGCAAGGAGCAATGCGGCTGCACTCCTGCCCCTGTGTATACATGGAGAGCAGTGCCACATAACACAAGGCTGATTGCAGTTTGGTCCAGCCCATACACAGCTTCTATGACACTGTCAGCCAAAAACTTAATAGGTATAATAACGGTCGTGGACATGACATTTATGATGCTGTAGCTTGTCAAAGAGAGTATGTTGAATGCATACCATGCTCCTGCAGTCAAGTATTCGAGGTTAGGAAATAGCACGGAATATTTTTCATAAATATCTACTGCAAAGCTTCGCAACTCAGGAGTGTTCTGAAGAGTTTTACAGATTCTAGCTTCTTGACTACACGGCTTGATAGACCGAGTAAAATGTTTTTGGGCATAAGTGAGGCAGAGATGTACAAGAATCGATGCAAAAAGTCCGCAGTACGTGGAGACCAGAGTTCGGAACAGGTGTGACAGCATTTGGCACGACAAATATGCCAATGTCATTATTTATTTTCGCAACATTAAAATGACTCTGAAAATGCGACCAGCTATTTGGTGTATTCACGCAAGTCTTGTGAGTGTTGAATTGTAGGTACAGCTCCTGGTTGTGTCCTTGTGCGATATATGACAAAATATTATAGATATTAATAGTGGAAACTTCTCTGAAAACCACCGGGCACGGTGGCGAAGGACGTGAGAGGCACTGTTTACCACTCTTGCCGTTCATTTGTGTTTGTGTGTTGTTACTTATGCCTGAGTCCCACTAGAGCGACAAACAGAAACAGACGACACCGACAAGCCTTCAACACATGCGGTATCCTCGCGATGGTATACCTTTGGCAGGCGTTTATAGTCGTTCGGTGCTCGTGAAGTGACCCCGGGTGATTGCAAGCCTGCCGAAGATACCCTCGCGTGCGTAATACTTGTATCCGAGCGTAGCCTCTTTTATTCTATGCACAAGCCTGTGAAATTGCGACAGAGACTCTGGTTTGAGGCTCGTCGCAGTCGTTTGTTTCTGTATTGTCGCTCTAGTGGGACTAGGGGCTAACAAGCGCACCAATGGGAAGGCTTTAGCCATTATTGCTAACACTAAATAAAGAAATACAAAAAATACAACACCCAGCAACACTGCATGCAAGTAGTGATGCACTTCTGTTGTCAACTCTGCATTCCGCTTACGAATGAAATGCGCAATTTCCCTAGAGGCTTTCATTCCAAGCGAGTGGCATCAGAATTGCTGAAGGCCAGCCCATAAACACAGTCTATGTTAAAACAATCCCAGCAGCAATAAGTTGCTATTGTATTGCCCAATATATAGAGCACCTTACCATAAACAGCCTTGGCAGTCTCCCATGAAGCCTGGACTTCAGCAGAGGAGACTGTCATCCTGTGTCGTCCCAGGACACTCACATCGGGATGGTGAAAGTGAATGCCAACTTCTGCTTGGCAAGGGCTGCAGTAAGTATAAAGATGAAAACAGAGTACAATATACAATAAAAAATATTGTGGACCAACTTGAAAAAAGTGCAAAAAAAAAAGACAAGGACAAAAGGACAGGAACACGTAGAACACAGACAGGTGTACACTAGCAACTCAATCCATTGAAAACAAAAGAAAGAAGAGAATCAGAAATCAAAAAGCCTGTGCTCGGAGAACTGAGCTTCAGGAACCGTGGCGCAAGGCAAAGATGTCAGGTAGATTGTTTTACAGACGCTCTAGAATTAACAACATCCTTTCCATGTAGTAAAGTGGTGAGTTCATTCTAACTGAACATATTAAAAAATAGTACACAAGCAACAAGGAATAAAGGGTCGAGGAATGCACACACTACATACAACTGCAGACTCTCAAGTCACATAAATTACAGCAAAAATAAAAAAAAAAGAATGCGGAAGGAGTTTTAGCAAAAGTCTAAACAGGTCCAAGTGGAACGTGCTAATTCAACCATAGCCACAAGGCTAAAAACAATTTCCTTGTTAGCTCAAGTAACAGACGAATGTGCAGACACATTGGTTGCCCATACTACGAATAATGAACGCCTAAAATAATCCTCTTTTATGTTTTTCATAGTATATGCTAATTATCCACGTTTTTTTTCTAAGGATGACATACACGAGCAGTGTAAACAGTGCATAGATAGCTGACAGTCCATCGTGAATTTTAGATAGGAATTGAGCTGTTTTGATGTATTAGCCATCGATCTGTTACCTTAAACGACGAGAAAATTATGGTTTTCAAATCTGCACTTGCTAATGGGTAAATCAGCGCGTTCCACTTGGGCCTCTGCTCGAGCTCCTTCCGCATTCTTTATTTCCTTCTTCTCTGTTTATGCGAGTTGAGTCTGCGCTTGCATGTGGTCTATGCGTTACCCTCCTTGTCTCCATGACTTTTTGTGAACTAATTTTCAAGGTGTTCAATTAGCCCCAGCTCATCCCCTTACTACCAAAAACAATTACAACCTACACCATTCACTAAAGGCAGTACCAAAGAGAAAAAAACAGGAATTGGGTGAGGTATGAACACTATATACTTACACTGAACAAAATATACCTCCCATAGATTGGCGCGACACAATTCAAAATAAGGACACGCTTGTAAACTACCCCAGAAGCGGTGTCAAAAAGTTTTTCGCGGGCACAAATTTTTGCGATCGGGAGTGGCATGCTATGCATTAATCACCGTAGTGTGAATTTACCGCGGCACCAATTTTTGGCAATTCTTTTCCGGTTATAAATCGAGAAAATGAAGTCGTTTGCAGGGAACTGGGCGGCGGAAGCTACGGGCCTGCTCGATCAATCAATCGCTGACTTTTGCCTGGTCCAGCTCTCCGGACGCACATACGTACACAGAATCCACCTGTGGTGGATTCTGTGTGCGTATGTGCCTAGAGCTTCGGCGATGGAGGGGCACCTCGCTCTTCCAGACATTCTAGTTTACCAGTAAACAATACGGTGGAGGGAGTCAATCAAACCCCCCCCCCTCCCTTTATTTTTCCGTCTTAGCATTTCTGCCTGCCTGCTGCCTGCCTGCCTGCCTGCCTGCCTGCCTGCCCGCCCGCCCACCCGCCCGCCCCCATGTCCCGAAAATTTCCGCCGCTACTGATGGACCTGGAGCGAGTATGCAGCCTAAGCGCTCATCTGTGTCCGCTAATTGGTGCGAGGATGGAGTGCTCTGAATCGGGGAAAAAAAGAAGAAACACAGCCTGGCATAACATCATTCGCGCACAATTAGTAACAACGATACAAGCAAGTGATCTAGAGACAATAACAAGCATTATGAAGGGAGGAAAGAATAATCTAGCCCTAACGAACAAAGAAAGGAACTTACTTTGGAACGACCGTGCCACGATCTCGGCTGTTGAGCAGATTCGACGTAGTTGCACGGCTCACAGTAGCTTCCTTTTTTTTCAGACACATTTGAAACTAAGGTGAACTCCACGCATCACGAATAATCGGTAAATTTACTTGATGACGGCGATTTGAAACACACACGGGCAACACGACCGGCAAAACGTGCAAAATAAGATTGTGGATTGGATTGGATCGCATTCGTTGGCTATTATGGGTGCCTAGCGACTTTACCGAGGCTATGTTCGCGTATCTTCAACAGGCTTGCAATAAAACGATCAGCAAAGCGCTCTAAAACGATTAGGAGACACAGTAATATTAAATTACTGAGCATGTCAACATCACCACAATGTTAGAAGTACAATCCTGAACAGGCAGCAAAAAATTAAATACGAGACTAACCACACAATGTTTAAAAACGAATTCAGCAGACATATATCTTCCAAGAAAAACCACCTCAACCGATGGGGCGCGTGGCCTACCTTGTTAACGTGCTACGCTTGTGATCGTAGGGTCGATGGTGCGAATCTTGATAAGTGAAGATTTTTTAAAAAATTTTTTTATTATGTTTTTCTTTGTCTTTATTGATTTAAATATTTGCTATGTTTCTTTGCGGTCGCCGGCCCCCTACTTTCGGGTAAAAATCACTGAAAATGTGAAAATATAAAGTGCGAGCCCACGTTTGAATTTTGATACATGCACAAGCCGTGGCCCTCTTGTTTGGCCGGGATAATTCGCTCCCTCCGTGCTAATAGGTGGGTCAGTGTAATAGGCAAGCGCCGCAAATCCTTTCAACGAAGTAAGGAAGGTAATAATAATGGGAATATTGAGAGAAAAATGGGAAAATGCGTAAGTGGTCAAACTAGCTGCCACAGTGAGGCAGCCAATGTTTGTCTGAAGGCGGTCATCTTTACCCACTATTCAAACGAAAATACCGCTACTTTAAGGCAGTTATTTACCTAAGCTCATAGCGCGCTACGTATTAAGCACATTTCTAAATTTTCTGACTACCGGAAAGTAGTACTTAATTTTGTTCTGGTACATCCTGGTTTCACTTATCGGAGTTGCACTCCGCAATTTTACTTCTTTATTAGGCCTAGAAATGTTTTTATTTCTGACATCCAAGGACAGTGCGGATACTTAAACTAGCTAGCAGAAACGGTATCGTTCGGTGTTATAATATTTGTTTCGTAGCGTCAAGGGGTCACGTTCACAAACCCGGCAGGGCAAACATCCACAGAGCATTGGTGTTTCTCGTTTTTTTCTGCTAAAAAAAAAAGAAAAAAAAAGAAAGTTTTTTTTTTATATTTTTGCTTTTCTGATGCGGTATATCTAGAACATAAAGTATCGGGATTCGGGCGACAGATCGTGTTGCTATGTGAGCATTTGAAATATTTCTGTTAGATGATCGTAACTAAGACATTTGATTCCTGCCTGAATCAGCATATTTTCACACTCAATTGAAATCACCAATAACATGGTCTGAGGAGAGTTACGTACCTCTCGTGGCGTCGTGAGCAATAAATACAATTACTTGTTCTGGTTTCTGGAGAGTAATGTTGATTATTGTTTTCTAAGCTCAAAGCGGGTGCTCATTCCTGCCACGTGTGTTTTTTTTTTTTTTTTCATTCGGAGGCTCCGCTACAGTGGCGTCACAAGGGGGGGGGGGTCGCGGCGGGCTACCGCCCCGGGTGCCTCTGACCCTCGCGACGCCACTGCTCCGCTATACCGTTTTTATTTTTTATCTGAGTCAAACACGTGCGTACACCACCGGACGTTCAGTATAGTGCATCAAATGAAACTAGATTCCTAAAAAAATATCATTCGGCGTTGTAAAATTTATTTTTCGTGGCGTACGTGTTCAGATTCTCAATATCCTGAATGTGCTTTCCTCGCCTCATTGTTTTTTTTCTCGTTTTCGCGGTAAAACACGTCAGCCTTGGAACGCTGGGATCAAATACGCCAGCGTCGGCAGTCATTTACGAAGGATTTATCAACGCAAACATTTCCCCTCGCTATTCATGCTATTCATGCCGCAGTTGGTCAGAATCTCAATGACGTGACTGCATAGTGAAAACGGCAAAAAAATGAAAATAAAACGATGTCGGTCAGTAAACGGAACTGCAACGGCAGGACTCGCCAGCGTGAAGAGCAAAGCGCAGATTCCAGAAAGTTACTGAACTTCCATGTAAATACTGGCCATCAAAGACAGCAAAAACACGATTCCGGCCAGTCACTGTAACCTCTGCTAAACTGGCCAGTGCGTAGGACGAGACGCCAACGCCGGACGGGGCCGGTAGCTCAAGGGCGCCCATGGCCGGGCGCCGCATTCTGTTACAGGACCGGCCGGCGTAGTCCCGATACCGACCGACGCGGTGTGCTACCTGGGTACATGCATTTTGCTCAGGAAAAACTGCTTGCTTTTTGTTTTTCAGTCTGTCTCCATATTTTGTCTTTTTAAAACATGCTCTTCTTTTAGACTTAATCACTATTCTGCTGCAAGATGATTGCATTTGCTCATGTTGTTGGGACCGAGGGGGTTCTCCGGGTAACGTCACGCAGGGCCAGGCCAGGAAAGGAGCAGCTGGCAGACTCCCGTCCAGGAACATGACGAGACGGGAGGGTCTCTCGCAACGAAACTTTGTTTAATACATATGTACAAAGTATTTATAACGTCCGAAAGCACAGATGCGGCATTCTGTTTGCCCCTTTTATAGGGTCGCTCTTCGGTACTCTCGCGGCTGGCAGCCAATGGTGGCCGAGTTGCCAACAAATCATGTTCAGGCCCCGCCTCCACTCATCCCCTGAGCACGCACACACCCACATGCACACACTGCAGCTGTGACCGGACTTTACACTCCGGCGCCGAGGCACCCTTGCCCTCGAAAGCTGCGCCGAGGAAGCGACAGCAAGGGGCCCAGTGTTTGCCCGGGTGACGACGTTGACCGTGGTAGTGTTGACCCCTCCATCAGACGGCGTTGAGGCACGGGAAAGGGCTTGGCCGGATCATCCGCAGGTGGCGTCCGGGAATAATCTCACCCTCACGGAGTGCTTATGGCCTGAATGTCCAACGAGACTGAATGTCCAACGAGTCTGAATGTCCAATCGGTCACGTGACAGGCGAGACAGAATGTACAACGAGACGAAGGATCCAATCGAGACGGAATGTCCATCGAGTCTGAATGTCCAACGAGACGAAAGGTCCAACCGAGACGGAATGTCCAACGTGCCTGAATATCGAACGAGACGAAAGATCCAACCGAGACGGAATGTCCAACGAGCCTGAATGTCCAACGAGTCTGAATATCCAACGGATATAGAATGAACCTTGCAAAGAGTTTAGAAGACATTTCTTTGTTGAATTGTAGGAATACTGATAGGTACGGCGGGTGAAAAATGCGTTCGATGAAATGGGGAACCGGACATTTCGGTGCGGAGATATCAATCGGTACGCGATCATTTCGGTATTTGGTCGCTTCGGCACCGGGCTTTTCAGTACCGGGATTTTTAATGCACGGCTATTTTGATATGCCGCTGAGCTTGTCCCACTGACGTTGCCTCTGTAAAGTCCCCAAAATGAAATTAAAATTATGCTCGTATATTTTGTAGACTTCATAAAATCCCCAAAACAATTCATTTATTGTTCGTTTTATATATCGAAATATAAAGATGATATATAAAATTAAATAAAAGACGTTTAAAAGGTCACACATGCTACAAGATCAAAGACCGAACTCGTTGACCATTGACAACCTGTCACACGTTTGATTTTAGAAGGTCGTACCTCTGGACCGGAAACAAATGTGGGACCCACGAGCGTCCTCAGCCACCGTTTTTCCGTATTGTACGAGTTGCTATATTTTTCTTATTCGTGTCTCTGGTCCCGCAAAGATGATGTCAATCGCATGCGCTTATGGCCTGAATGTCCAACGAGACTGAATGTCCAACGAGCCTGAATGTCCAATCGGTCCCGTGACAGGCGAGACGGAATGTACAACGAAACGAAAGATCCAATCGAGACGGAATGTCCATCGAGTCTGAATGTCCAACGAGTCGAAAGGTCCAACCGAGACGGAATGTCCAACGTGCCTGAATATCCAACAAGACGAAAGATCCAACCGAGACGGAATGTCCAACGAGCCTGAATGTCCAACGAGTTTGAATATCCAACGGATATAGAATGAACCTTGCAAAGAGTTTAGAAGGCATTTCTTTGTTGAATTGTAGGAATACTGATAGTTACGGCGGGTGAAAAATGCGTTCGATGAAATGGGGAACCGGACATTTCGGTGCGGAGATACCGGTACGCGATCATTTCGGTATTTGGTCGCTTCGGCACCGGGCTTTTCAGTACCGGGATTTTTAATGCACGGCTATTTTGATATGCCGCTGAGCTTGTCCCACTGACGTTGCTCTGTAAAGTCCCCAAAATGAAATTAAAATTATGCTCGTATATTTTGTAGACTTCATAAAATCCCAAAAACAATTAATTTATTGTTCGTTTTATATATCGAAATATAAAGATATCTAAAATTAAAAAAAAGACGTTTAAAAGGTCACACATGCTACAAGATCAAAGAACGAACTCGTTGACCATTGACAACCTGTCAAGCGTTTGATTTTAGAAGGTCGTACCTCTGGACCAGAAACAAATGTGGGACCCACGGGCGTCCTCAGTCACCGTTTTTCCGTATTGTACGAGTTGCTATATTTTTCTTATTCGTGTCCCTGGTCCCGCAAAGATGATGCCCCTCGCATGGGAGAAAAGCGCCTGATTGAATTTTTAGTATTATAATTATTATTAAATGCAGTCGGTGTAGTATGTGTAATTACTCTAAATTGCAGTTTTTGTTTTCTTCTTTTTTACAGAATGAACGTGAAATACTTAGACATTTTTGATTGGACTTCTCGGTCCCCAGAAACAAAAATTCGATCCTCATATCAAAATCAGTGATAGAATACAACGTTCCTCCCATTAAGCCTTTGTGCAGCTAATCTCCTCAATTAGTGAGCTTTTGTCCGGTGGTTGTGCGTTGACGCTTATCGCGACGATTAGTTTCGCATGTTTCGGCCACCAAAGCGATTGCTGTCGCAGTGAACCATGTATTAAGCAACTAGTAGGTAATATTAATAATTATTACAATACTTTTTTAGGGTTGGCTTCCATCGTTTCTGCCTTTCCTAGTCACGCGGCATGCAGCAATCGCACCGATACGCGCCCAGGTAGCATACCAAGGCTGCGATCGGATCTCAACTGGTTCTAACTCTGCCACAGAGCCGCTGCGACAGTGCGACCGTTATTTATTCATATGCGTACATTACAAGTGCACATATGACCACGGCATCAGGAGGTCAACCCCTTGCTCGGTCTTCCCAAATTCCATAATGCTAGAGTTGCGGGCGAACATACTCACGGAGAACCCGACTTTTATCATTTTGAATAACCCGGGTATGATTCACTATCGGGCACGGCAACTTCGGAACCGACAAGTCATCTAACATGCCGCTCCTGTTTGTAATCCAACAGATGCTGCTAATATGCACCGCGTGTCCGCCTCACGGCCCGTCGTCGGCTACTCTCGCCTTGGGATCCGGATTCGTCCAGCAAGAAACCTTCGTCCCGCCCGTCAACCACAGCATCGCAGGCCTGCTGCACAATCATCGCGCAGCAACCATGGAACAGTGCCGGAGCAGTACAAGAGCGGATCCCGCGGCGGCAATCGTCACTGGGCACGGCAACTTCGGAACCGACAAGTCATCTAACATGCCGCTCCTGTTTGTAATCCAACAGATGCTGCTAATATGCACCGCGTGTCCGCCTCACGGCCCGTCGTCGGCTACTCTCGCCTTGGGATCCGGATTCGTCCAGCAAGAAACCTTCGTCCCGCCCGTCAACCACAGCATCGCAGGCCTGCTGCACAATCATCGCGCAGCAACCATGGAACAGTGCCGGAGCAGTACAAGAGCGGATCCCGCGGCGGCAATCGTCACTGGGCACGGCAACTTCGGAACCGACAAGTCATCTAACATGCCGCTCCTGTTTGTAATCCAACAGGTTAGTGATGGAAATTGCGTTAACTTTAGAAGTGACAACCGATTTATTATTGTTCTGCCGTGCCCACAAGTGTTCTTTGATTGTGCCATGAATTGTCGGGATAATCTGCTGTTACTTCTTTCTGGTGACGTCGAACGAAACCCGGGCCCAGAGACGAGACTAGAAACGATGATTTCCCAAGTGCTCGAAAACCAAAAACAGCTGAAAAGTGAACTTAAGGAAGTAAAGGAAAACCAGATAGCGTCCCAGCAAAGACAAAACGCAATGGCCGATAAAATCACCCACCTTGAGACAGCCCTTGACGTCCTCCAGAAGAGTAATCAGCAGATATTGCAGCTACAAGGAACGCTTCAGAGTCTAGAAGAATTGGTCTACTTACAACGCGAAAAGATAGCAGATCTTGAGGATAGAGGTAGGAGAAATAACCTAATAGTATTTGGCATTCCTGAAACGCCAAATGAAACGGTTGAGAACCTGAAACAAAGTGTGATAAATACTGTCTTCCAACAACAACTAGGCGTAACTGTGAAGACAGTGGAACGAATACACAGGCTTGGAAAAAGGACAGATGGAAAAATTCGACCGGTCATCCTAAAACTGTATGATTACAATGAAAAAGTGCTTGTGTTTAGGAATTGCAAAAAGCTAAAGGGATCAAAGATATCGGTATCGAATGATTATTCCCAAGTCACCCTAGACAGGCGTAAACACCTTTGGGATAGCGCAAGATCGGAGAGGGCCAGTGGAACTCACGTACGACTTATTCATGATAAGCTTCAGATAGATGACCAAATGTTCGTCTGGAACGATGCCGATGATTGTCGTGAAAAAGTTGGCAGCCATCGAGGTTCGCAAAAGCAAGCTAGATAACTCCCTGATAACAAAGAAAAATGCCTACGTCTGATTAACGTGAATGCAAGAAGCCTTCTTAACAAAGTGGAAAGTCTGGAGCACTTGTTACTGCTGTACAACCCGCATATTGCTGTAGTTACCGAAACCTGGTTACATGACCACATAAATGATTGCGAGATTGTGCCACCATCATACAAAATACTCAGAAAAGACAGAGGCTCCCGTGGTGGGGGAGTCGCTTTAATTTACAAGAACTACCTTTCGTGTATTTTGATGCCTGAGTGTTCATTTACTGAGAGTTTGTGGTGCCGAGTAAAGTTCGGCGGGCATTCCATTGTAATTGGCGGGGTTTATAGATCACCTGATTCATCGCCGCAGTTTTTAGAGAATATCTATGATTATTTACAAGAAAATGTCACCTGTAGATCTAAAATAATAATTGCTGGTGATTTTAATCTTCCTGGCGTTAAATGGGACCAACTAGATCCTGGTGTGACAGATGTTAAAAGCGGTGAATTATTGCTTGACATTGCTTTTTCTAACAATCTATCACAGGTGGTTCAAGAGTTTACTAGAATTACTGATTCTTCCCGTTCTATACTAGATTTAATTTTTGTGTCAGAATCTTTGAAAAATTATGAGGTGGTTGTTGAAGATGGATTGTCGGATCATAAATTGGTGTTGCTGTCCATCAAATTAACCGCTCAATCACTAAATGCAAACTGCCCGACAACTGAAGTGTATGATTACAGTAGAGCTGATGACGTCAGTATTCTGGATCATTTAGAAATAAGCCTCTCTTCTTTCGTAGATATACAAGACGTGAACCAGTTGTGGAATCAATTCAAAAAGATAATACGTTACTGTCTTGATAAGTTCGTTCCAAAAAAAGTGAAACGTGTTGCAAAGCAAAACCCCTGGGTAACGAGAGAGATAATTCATCTCAAGCGTAGAATAGCACGTCAACGAAAGAAAAAGCCGCGTAATAAAACTACAATCCAAGAGATATCTCGTATTCTTAAAGATAAACTAAAATCTGCAAAGGAACGATACTTTACTGAGGTCATGCCTGAATTTATAAGAACATCACCTCGTAGGTTTTGGCGTCACCTCGCGCCGTCGAGAGATAGTGTGCAGTACGTGGCTCATGACAATCATGTCATCACTGATCCAGGTGAAATGGCGAATTCGTTTAATGATTTCTTTCAGTCAGTTTTCTTAGACAATTGTGACCTCGCCGAAAATGCTGGTGAATTTAGTCATGAGTCACACTCGAATATGCCAGAATTGCAAGTTACAGAAGAGGGTATCTTTGTGCTACTATTAGATATGGACACAAAGAAAGCAGTCGGTCCAGACGAAATACCCAATACCTTCCTAAGGCGCTACGCCGAGTGGGTCTCAAAATATCTTTTTGCTATTTTTAGTGCTAGTCTAGTAAATTGCGAAGTACCATTAGATTGGTTATCAGCGAGGGTCGTTCCAGTTTATAAATCTGGAGATAAACATTCAGTTGAAAATTATCGTCCCATTTCCCTCACGTGCGCATGTTGCAAACTACTAGAGCACATTGTTTCTAAGGAGTTGTTTAAGTTTTTAGAACATTCGAATATCTTTCTTTCGAACCAGCATGGATTTCGAAAGTCCCTCTCCACTGTGACCCAGCTTACAGAAACATTGCATGACTTCGCCACGTCTATGAACAACAGAGGGCAGATCGATGCCTTATGCCTAGACCTATCGAAAGCTTTCGACCGAGTACCCCATCCTGAACTTATAAATAAATTACTGAAACTGGGTATAAACCATAAAGTTATCCTGTGGATCAAGGCCTACCTTACAAATAGAAAACAATTTGTAGAAATAAGTAAAACAAACTCTTGTTATGTCCGCGTTCCCTCGGGCGTTCCGCAGGGATCCGTTTTGGGACCTGTTTTATTCTTGTGCTATATAAACGATATAGTGGAAAATATAGGACCCCCTATTGCGGTGCGCCTGTTTGCAGATGACTGCTTGTTGTATTCAGTTATCTCTTGCCACGATGATCAGGTCCGGCTTAATTCTGCACTGCAGACAGTAGAAAAATGGTGTAAGGAGTCAAAAATGAAAATTAACTTAACTAAAACTATACATTGTACTATAACTAACAAAAAACAAAATATTCTACCATTCGTATACAAGCTTGGAAACGAACCTTTAGTACAGGTGAACGAGTTTAAATATCTTGGCCTTACCATATCATCAAACTTAAGCTGGAAAACTCACGTTGACAATGTGTGCTCAGCTGCTAGGAAAAAACTCTGGTATCTCAAGCGCAATCTCAAGCTCGCTCCCCCTGAGACAAGACTAACTGCATATAAAGCACTAATACGGCCTACTCTAGAGTACGCTTCTATAATTTGGGATCCTTTTAGAGCCTATCAGATAAATAAACTAGAAAAAATACAAAGGATGGCAGCCAGATTTATATTGTCGAGATATCAGAGAACAGAATCAGTACAGGAAATGCTTAACTATCTCAACCTTCCAACGCTCTGTGACCGTAGAAAAATAGCACGCCTGAAATTCTTTTATATGCTACAAAATGGCCAATTTAATTTTAATACGGACCCTTACATAGTTGCTCGGCAGATCAGGCCTCTCAGAGGCAACCACTTAAACCACTACCAAATAGATACGGCAAATGTTGATGCATATAAATACTCCTTTTTTCCAAGAACGATAACTGATTGGAACAGCCTACCACAAGAATTAACAACAGCAAATACACTAACCTTGTTTGAAAAAAGCATTCTGAACCTTTTTCAATGATATCTATCGAATCCTTAGTATTTCCTATTCACGTATAATCATGAGAAAATTGTGATGTTATTGTGTGATGTCTTTGCTTCGTCGCTGTTTGACGATTTATAAATTCAATGTCAAGCGCTATTTTCGTATGTTTGAATTGTTGTTGATACAGTGTCCTTGTTTCTTTTTGTATTTGGTCATATGTATTCTCGTGCCTTGTGCACCCCTGTAACAACCCTAACGGGTTAACAGTATACCTAAATAAAAAAAATAAAAAAAAAATTCTGAGAGCTGCATTTGTCATCCTCTCTTTTTTGAAAAGAAGGTCTCACTGTTGACGCCCACTGTCACCGGCAATCTACACACCCAACCCTAATCAACTCTTTACGACAGTTCGACAAACGGGGACTTTCGCCCCATTCTTCATTCTGCGAATCGGGACGAATTGTCCTTCTTCCAGTTGTCCAGAGACCAATGGAATTTCGACGAAGTGACCAGATTCGTGGTGCAATACGCTTACCCTAGAAGAATAGAAAGCCACGTGGAACGATCTATTGTTATATTCGCACATGATGCAGGCTATTAGTACATCCGGGTGTGAACCTTCTGCTGCACGCCGAGATTGATGCGTTCGCTTCCTTTATCAGCAGTCAAGCTCCCACCTACCAAGACGTCATGAACTACCTCGACAAAATGGCGACCTTTGGAGTGCTTCCAGAAGCCAGTTAAATTAAATGGGCTTCTGAAAACCACTATATGTGACATGCACTATATGCATGTCACATGCAAAAAAAAATATGCGTACTGTGTGATACTAGTATTATCGCTCTACTCACGGACATACAAACCTATTGGTAGGAAATGGATGCGTATGTAAACTACTGACGACTGAAGTGTACAGTGAGTAGTTGTCTGTTCCAAAGATACACGAACAAAAATAAAAATTTCTCAAATTCACACAATTGGTCCGCATTGACTCAGGAATTGTCGGGTCACACCTACCACCACCCACATGCATTTATAGACGCGATAGATGTAGATTTTATTTAAAAAAGATATATTCATATTTGTTTTTATTAGTGGGAAATTACGCTTGTGGGAAACTCTTGATGCATCGCACCCACAGCTCCCAAAGCACCTTTTAAAAACTTAAATATTGACTTTCCGCATAGTCAGTGGCGCTGGCGGGCCGTCATGTGTTTGCAATGCGGATCTCCGTATGTAGCTCATCTATAGATCGAAACGGGCAGGGATGAGGACTGAACTAGAAATTCCTGGATTCTAAATCGCGGCTTTCATAGACGTCCGCCAATTGCGATCCACTAGAACACCCGTACTTTCCATTCCTATTATATATTTCAAATTGGCTGACCTATCCCTGTTGGAAAATTTCGATGATGGAAAGATGACGGAAAGGGCTCATACAAGCGTAACCGTAATATGGGACATCCTATACAAGCGAATCGGCGGATCCAGTATAGTGGATTATGGCGGAACGATACAAGTCGCGGAACCATACAAGCATGTCGTATTATGGGACATCCTATACCAGCGTAGTGGAATATGGCGGAACCATGTGGAACCATACATGCATAACGTAATATGGGACAACCTATACCAGCGAAAAGGCGATACCAGCACGATGGAGCCATATGGCTCCAACATGCTGGTTTCGCCTTTTCACTGTTGTACAGGGCGATTTAGTTTTAAGCTTTACATATATGTTTAGAAAGGTCGTGAAAGCTAAATTAATGCGGTTTGTGCAGGCGAGTTATACGGCCAGGCGTACGTAGTATAGGGACCTAATCGTAACAATCAGTCAGATAATTAAATACAATTTGTTAATTAACTTTTTAATTAGTGAAAATGAAAATATGGTTTCAATTAGAAACTTGCTGAGTCATTGAAAACCACAAAATCAACTCTTTTTAGAAGGATATAATGCAGGGGTAGCCTTTTACGCGTTCTGTAAAAATGCTTTATTTGGACGAGTTTCTAGGTTTCAGTTTCTTATCACAGCTCATCTCTGCGCCCAAGGTCCTGTTCCCCCTTAGACACGCAACGCACGTGCGCCTTGCTTCACTCCATCCTATGAGGGAGGCGAGGGGGCGGCTTCCCAGTGTGGCCACCGGGCAGCAGGACCGCAGGTGCAAAGATGCGCTCTGGTAAGAAACCAAAGTCTGGAAACGCGTCCAAATTGACCATTTTTTTAGAACGCCATAAAATGCTGCTCTTGTTTGATATCTTCACAAAGAAAGTTGATTTAGTGTGTTTTGATGATGCTTATCAAGTTTCTAATTGGAACCATGGGTCTATTTTCACTGATTAAAAATTTCAGGAACATACTATACTTAGAGAGAGGCTGAAGCGGTTTTGTATTTGAGAAAACACTTTTAAATCTTCATATGACCTCCAGAATCTCAAATATCAAAATTATTTGGTAATTTTATGAATCGAGGCTGCATACAGTCATTTTTAAAGCGCTGTGAAAGCACTTCCCTGGAGAGCGACGTCACAAAAGTGGCTTTCGAAATCTTTGCTCATGCATTTTCAGCACCTATCAAAGCTATGCACGCACATGCTATTTTTTAAAAGGGCAGAAAAATGTGTCACGACTGGTGCCAATGCGGGAGAATATACCTAGAAAACTTGAGATTGGACGCGCGGCCCTTAACCGACACGCTTGGCGGCCGAAAGGTCTTCTTACGATGTCACTATTGGTAAGATGTTTTTTTGTTTTCTCACGTTTAGTTATATCTTTGTGGAAAACGAACGGGATATTCAGATTCGCGAGATAAAACTATGCTAGAATGG